GACGTAACATTGGATCAAACTTTGTGACCTCATAACTCCGCATCAGACTGTCACACAGACTTCTAACTGGGCTCATTTAACTCAGACTCTCCAACTGCCAATGACTGATCACCTTTAAACTTTCTGGCCACGCCCTAGCAACCACTTTTGGACCCTAGAAACCGTCCCATAGACTTCCATTGCAAAATACTCTCATTGACTTTACATGGGATCAAACTTTGTGAGCTCATAACTCTGCATCAGACTGTCCTACAGACTAATGGCTGAGCTCATTTAACTCAGTCTAGCCAGCAGCCAATCACTGATGAGCTTTTAACTTTCTAGCCACACCCCTAACTACCACATACTGCACCCTAGCAACTGTCCCGTAGACTTCCATTCAAAAGACTCTCATTGACTTAACATGGGATCAAACTTTGTGAGCTCTTAACTCTGCATCAGACTGTCCTACAGACTAATGATTGAGCTCATTTAACTCAGTCTAGTCAGCAGCCAATCACTGATGGCCTTTTAACTTTCTAGCCACACCCTAACAACCAGATACTGCACCCTAGCAACTGTCCCATAGACTGCCATTAAAGAGGTTCAGACTGATATCGTCATGCTGCAGTGTGATAGAGACATGGGGGTTGTGTTTAACTGTTCATACTGGCAAGAAGCTTTGATACATCATCAGTCTAAGCTGTCAATCAACTCCATAGCAACAAAACAGACTAACCTAGCAACGATATAATAGCAGCTATATCTCAGCATCAGAACATCGTAGAGAGGCGGGGGTTGGCTTGTTTGAATCAGGCTCGCACACCATCTATCTATCTATCTATCTATCTATCTATCTATCTATCTATCTATCTATCTATCTATCTATCTCTATCTATCTGATAGTATATTAATATGATCTATCCGTCCGTCCGTCCGTCCGTCTGTCTGTCTATCTATCTATATGTCTGTCTATCTGTCTATCTATCTATCTATCTATCTATCTATCTATCTATCTATCTATCTATCTATCTATCTGATAGTATATTAATATGATCTATCCGTCCGTCCGTTCGTCCGTCCATCCGTCCGTCCGTCCGTCCGTCTGTCTATCTATCTATCTATCTATCTATCTATCTATCTATCTATCTATCTATCTATCTATCTATCTATCTATCTATCTATCTATCTATCTATCTGATAGTATATTAATATGATCTATCCGTCCGTCCGTTCGTCCGTCCATCCGTCCGTCCGTCCGTCCGTCTGTCTATCTATCTATCTATCTATCTATCTATCTATCTATCTATCTATCTATCTATCTATCTATCTATCTATCTATCTGTCTATCTATCTGATAGTATATTAATATGATCTATCCGTCCGTGCGTCCATCCATCCATCCGTCCATCCATCCATCCATCTATCTATCTATCTATCTATCTATCTATCTATCTATCTATCTATCTATCTATCTATCTATCTATCTATCTATCTATCTATCTATCTATCTATCTATCTATCTATCTATCTGTCTGTCTATCTGTCTATCTGTCTATCTATCTGTCTGATAGTATATTAATATGATCTATCCGTCCGTCCGTCCGTCCGTCTGTCTGTCTATCTATCTATCTATCTGTCTATCTGTCTATCTATCTATCTATCTATCTATCTATCTATCTATCTATCTATCTATCTATCTATCTATCTATCTATCTATCTATCTGTCTATCTGTCTATCTGTCAATCTATCTATCTATCTATCTATCTATCTATCTATCTATCTATCTATCTATCTATCTATCTATCTATCTATCTATCTATCTATCTATCTATCTATCTGTCTGTCTGTCTGATAGTATATTAATATGATCTATCCGTCCGTCCGTCCGTCCGTCCGTCCGTCTGTCTGTCTATCTATCTATCTATCTATCTATCTATCTATCTATCTATCTATCTATCTATCTATCTATCTATCTATCTATCTATCTATCTATCTATCTATCTGTCTATCTATCTGTCTATCTATCTATCTATCTATCTATCTATCTATCTATCTATCTATCTATCTATCTATCTATCTATCTATCTATCTATCTATCTATCTATCTATCTGTCAATCTATCTATTTATCTATCCGTCTGTCTGATAGTATATTACAAGGATCTATCCATCTGTCCGTCCGTCCATCTAATAGTATATGATTAGGATCTATCCATCCATCCGTCTACCTATCTATCTATTGTATAAAAGCAATATCACACTCGTAGCAATGAGATATGGCTGTATATAGTCACTTGTGGGACACTAACGCACGCCTCCCACCAGTGCCAATATACAGCCATATTGCACTGC